AAAAAATTTATTTTTATTTCGCACATATATAAATACAATAAAGCTTCTTTTTAGTTAAATTTATTCGCGACATCGTGACTTTTGATCCACTCTATATTTCGTTTCATCTCTTCAATATTTTACATATCTATTTTTCCTTTTTCTTTTTTTTTTACACGCTTCTATCTTTTTCGTTTAATTTATACTCACAGGCTACTCTGCGATCACTGAACTATGGTAATACTGGAATTCTCCTTTCTATATAAGCATCGCACGAAGTGTTTTACACCGAGAAAGAGAGAGAACGAGTGAGAGAATTAGATTTGTTATAAAAGATAGTTTTCTATTTCTTTTTCTTCTTCTTTAATGGATATTCGCCCCTAGTCGGGACGCAGTGCCTTGCTTTTTAAAACTTTCTTTCAACTCTTTAGTTCCTTAAGCAATTTCTTATATCTATATATACCAATATATATCAATATATGCATACATATATACCAATCATATGCAAGAAAAAAGAAAGTTCTATTCTTTTCTTTCATTTTTTATTCAGTGGAAATCTTGCACATTCTTATCGAAAGTTTAGTTAGCGCAGTGAGCCATATCACTAATTAATTTAATTAAATACTTTACTGTTAAATTGCAGCAGCAAACCCTACTAAAAAAAAAGAAAAAAAACACAAGTTTAATGCGGATATAAAGCACTGCTATATCTATAGCAATTTCTAATTGAATCTGCTGCCATTATATTGCTCTAGGTTTAGTACTTTATTACTATGTCCTTTTGAAGAACGTCAAATAAGTTTATTGGACTGTATTTTTCTGAGAAAGAAAAGAAAAGGGAAAGGAGAGAGGGAGAGAGACACATGAGATTTTTTCAAATTAGAGCTATCTCTCTCAGATCACATTTCGAGCGCGTCGGAGCGTTCCACTATTAATATAGTTCGGTGCCTGTAATATAATTTAGGCACAGGGGAAGAACCTGATCACCAAAATGATTCACACATTACATAAGGGAGATGCTTAAGCAGCGATGTCGCGCTTAATCGCTAGCCTTTTTTTAGCCGGAGGCTTTCTTCGTCGCATTCGAAATTGAAAGCACGATATTCTAGCAAGGCATTGATTACGTGTAAAAAATAACTCTCCGTGTAAACACTGTAATCTAAGGATTTACCTCCTACTCGATGTGCTCCTTACAGAAATAAGTTCTTTTCTTTGTCTCTTCCTTACTAACTTTCTCACGACTTACAAGCACTGTTCCGTAGACATTGTACAATATTTCTCTTTCTTCGAATAGTAAAAAGTCCTATCTGTTGTTTACAATAGATACGCACACACGATTATAATACATAACGATTTCCAAATCTGATCGCGCCGAGTGATATCACTATTCATTATTTTAGAAGACAACATTAATATACGATACACGTACGTATGAAAATCGATAATCTTAATTATGTGTCTAAATGATCAGATTAATTGATATATGTCGGCTTCAATTAACACCCTTGCTTTAAGTGATGTTAACCGCAACAAATCGACTTACCATTCAATTTATACAATCGTCTCTACATAATTGTACTCATTAAACTCTTTTTTAATTAAATATTGTGTCCCAAATTGCTATTAATTAATAAACCACAAGTTTGAATTTGTATCGACTTTTAGATATTGACGTAACAACAAATTGAGATTCATTAAATATGAAAATTTGAAGAACGAAAATTTATTAGAACGAAAACATGAGAAAAGCTGTTGCTAAAATTGATCATGATTGATATCTTTTGTCTCACATCTTGTGAAAATTGAGACGTTTCCTTATAATAAAACATAACTAGAAACAAAATTGGTAACGACATAAATCTATTAATTGCGACAAAATTCATGAAACGTCAATGAGCGAAAGATCTGTACACATTCAACCGCTCTTTTTATCAATCGAGCGCACGTATGACGCTGAATGACCGTCTATCATGAATAAAACTCGCATTCCTGAAACCTATAACGTAACGCAATGTTTCATAGTAATCGGAAGTATCTTATACGAGTTTTCCAATAGGAACCAAATTCGTGTGAGATATAAGAAAGAGGTAACTTATTGTCGTAAATTTGGCACAGGAGCTGGTGGTGTGTGCTAACGCACCTGTGTATATACTCCAAAACACTTCAACGGGCAGTAGACGTTTAGAAATTCTATCTCGCGGTAATAAGTTACGGCGTGACGCAACTATTAAACGCGGAATTTTCGTTCTATCGTTTTTTATCGTTATTCGTTTGAACGTGATGCATACGCATTCCCATACAAGTACACATTATACATTACACAGGTGTATATACACTATATATAATTTGACGCTTCGAAAGTGATGTTGTAAGTCTTACACGAGGAAACCTCTTCCATGGAGAATCAATTGTCGATTGTCAACCTAAGCGTGTCGAAAATGCATAAGTTTTGAGTGCGATCTCTTGGTTGTTATAACGAGAAATTGAGATATTTCGAAAGAAATGAATCTTCATATTGAGACAATAGCGATGTAACAATGCTATTCATCACTTGTCCGCTGATTTAAAACTTTGAAACTAATATTTTACCTAGGTTCAAATCCTTTTAAATATGTGTGGCTCCACGCTTTCTTTAATAATTTTGAATTATATTTATAAGTTATATCATAAGTTTATGACCTGTACCAAGAATATATTATTTACACTTGCGGTTGCTATAAATACATATATCGATAACTTAATGATGTATCTGTATTAATCGTCTTTTTTTTTCATTTTAAAATACAGAACGCGAGTAAGGTTTTATCACACACATCTCTGACAGAAATAAATCTCTATTTTGTAATAAGCTTCTGCACAATAATATAACTATAAGAAATTAATAATTATTAAATAAATTAATATGAGGACCCTCGAAATTCAAATATAGGAGAAATCAGAGCCGTCAGGGTCGAACGCAGATCCTTGTGCGTAAAGTCAATAGTCTGATTTATTAATCATCTTAGTACATAAATCCGAACGTTTCGGCTCAGATTTGAGCCATCTTCAGCAGTAACGAAAGTTTTTCACACGTTCTCCGTGCCAAAAGGCGAGTTTACTGATTCGAATTGTCAGAAACGTAGACCAATTGATTCATATCTGTAATTTATTTAAGTTAATGATACGATATTAAGAAAAAAAAACTTCAGAAACTCACCAAATAGTTCGAAAAACGTGGGAAACGAAGCCAAGTACAACAAGAATAATCTGCGAGGAGACTTAACGGTCTCGTCGACACGCCACACAACGATGAAATGACATCTTTACCCATTAACAACATAAAAAAGACTATTATCGAATTTATAAAAAGCACAGAAAGTAACACGAAAGGCTTACACATAGATAAGATCTTGAGCATTAAGAACCGCTTCATTCCAGTCATTAACAACCTTCTTTCTTTTTCTCCGAAATTCCCTCTCCATTCGGAAATTTCTAATCTCGTTAAAGCCACAAAAGTATTTATAAATACCCAGATAGCACAGCTGATCTTTATGAATTAAAAAAAATCTGAATCTGATCTTTATGAATTCATAAAGATCAACTGTGCTATCTGGATAGTAATCCTAATATTATTTTTACTAGAGCCGACAAAGGCAATAGCACGGTAGCATTGGATAAAGAACTTTATAGACAAAGAATCACAGATATGTTATCGGACACAATCACATACACAAAAATTAATAAAGACCCAACACTAACGCTCACAAGAAAAATTAGGGATACAGTTGTGAGATGGAAAAATCAAAAATACATTTCAGACTATAAATACAAACAATTATTATGCACTGATGGTATTCTTCCGAGAACTTATGGATTACCAATGATTCATAAAACAGGTCATCCTTTTAGAATTATTATTTCTTCCATTGACAGCCCTACATATGCATTAGCCTTTTTTCTGCACAAGATTATCTCTGTGAAAGTATTCCTAAACCTGACAATCATATTGATAATAGTTTCGAATTAGCCAAATAATTAAATGGAACACACTTGAATAATGATTACGTACTGATTTCCTTAGATGTGATCTCTCTATTCACGAACATGCCTACAGATTTAGTCTTAGAAAGCATTTCCAATAAGATGGTCACACATTTCTAAAAATTGCAACATACCAAAGGATGAATTTATTAAAGCAGTTAAATTAATATTAAATTCAACTTACTTTTGTTTTGACAAATTGATTTATAAACAAAAATTTGGTTCTCCCATGGGCTCTCCGTTTTCTCCCATCGCTGCAGACATGGTAATGCAGGATTTGAAAAGCATGTAGTGTGCTGCGACAACTTACGTTTATTTTACCGTTTTATTTTAGATATGTAGATGACATAGCCATAGCGGTACCTTTTTACGCTCTTGACACTATTTTGCATTTATTTAATTCTTATCACCCTAGACTTCAGTTCACAATTGAGGTGGGGGGTGATAAGCTGAATTTTTTAGACTTAACAATTATTAAAAATGAGAACACATTAGAATTCGATTGGTTTCACAAACCAACGTTCTTAGGCCGGCTTAATTTCCTGTCGCAGCACCCTGTCTCTCAGAAAAGAGGCACGATCATGGGCATGGTGGATAGGGCCTTCTTACTTTCCCATCCGAGATACCATTCTAAGAACATTAAGTTCATAATAGATATTCTTCTGGAGAATGACTACCCGTTGGCATTTATCTTTAATACAATTGATACTAGAATAAAATCGTTACTTAACAAATGTACTCGCAAACAAAATGAACCTTCACCCACGAACGAAGAGGAACGACGTACTTGGTTCACGGTTCCATATGTTCCGGGTATTTCTGAAGAATTTAAAAGGGTTAAAAAACAAAATGTCAACTTGTCTTTTTATAGTTTGAACAAACTTAAGAAAACAAAACAATTTCCGTCGCCAGCAAATAATTCAAAATAAGTCGTTTTATTTTCGACCCAACTGGCCAATTAAAACAAGATTGCACAATCTTATTTTAAACTTAAGAAATTTATTAAAGTACAGAAAGATATCCTTCTAATTCAATTTAATAAAAATGTAGTATACAAAATATCTTGTAAAAATTGTGACGCGTCATACGTGGGCCAGACGATGAGACAACTGAAAACTAGAATCTCAGCACACCGTAATCACATTCATAGAAATACAACGACTCAATCGGTTATCACCAAACATAGATTGAATTTTGATCATGATTTTGATTGGGAGAATGTCAAAATTTTAGATAACAAAAGATATTTATCTAGGAGATTAGTCTCTGAAATGACTCACATCAAACTACAAAAGAATGGTATTAATTCACAAAATGACACAGAATTCTTGCATCACGCATATATTGCGATTTTGAACAAATTGTAATCCATGCTCATGAACGCTTCACTATTGGTACACCGAATATCTGTTATTTTATTTTATTTACTTGACACACTATGTATAATCCTCGCCGGTGATTTGACTTATGACACACTTCTCCCCTGCAATTTCTGTCATTTCATCGTTGTGTGGCGTGTCGACGAGACCGTTAAGTCTCCTCGCAGATTATTCTTGTTGTACTTGGCTTCGTTTCCCACGTTTTTCGGACCGTTTGGTCCGAAGTTTCTGAAGTTTTTTTCTTAATATCGTATCATTAACTTAAATAAATTACAGATATGGATCAAATGGTCTACGTTTCTGACAATTCGAATCAGTAAACTCGCCTTTTGGCACGGAGAACGTGACAAACTTTCGTTACTGCTGAAGATGGCTCAAATCTGAGCCAAAACGTTCGGATTTATGTACTAAGATGATTAATAAATCAAACTATTGACTTTACGAACGAGGATCTGCGTTCGACCCTGACTTCTCCTATATAATAATAATTATTATTATAATTTGAACAACAAATCTCGATAAGAATCATATTTATGAGGCATAATAATAACTAATTGTAAATAATAAAGACAATAATAATATGAAAATAGTAATAGAGAGAGTAATAATAATGTGCAGAAGCGTGCTTGAAAATTATTATCTTGTATACAATCGCTTAAATACGTATAGACAGTTTTCTTTAAAAAATTTTGAAACGAATATACGAGAAATCTTACACCATATACACAAATTACATTGCCACAGTTGTTACAAATTAGATTGACACCTTAGGAGAAATATTTAATCATGATGTGTAAAAATATGAGCAATTAGCGTCTATACATCTAATTTTATTGATTAAGTGCATACAAGTGTAAAAATAACGCATATAAGTAATTTAATGACAACGATTTTCCTCCAATTCCTCTATTCGTTATTATACAAACGCGTCTGTCTACAGTTTTCTTTTTTACAAATTATACATTGAAAATTGGATAAATCGAAAGGTCACCAGATGTTTCGATATATATTCAATGTATCTTTTTGTATCTTAAGAAATAAAAAAAAAGCAGAAGAGGAGTAAATATTCGAATACTTGAAAAATTTACTTCAATTTCTTAATTGAATAACTAATAAAGCAACAATTAATTTATCGAATTAAACTTTTCAACACCGGATGAGCGTATCATATAATTACATGCTCTAACGAAACTTTGACACTTGTGTTCCTATAAGATACAAGAATATTTACTTATTTTATTATGAAAATTATGGTTGTCGAACTTGCGCGAATATCTTGTATATTGGAAAGGAAATGTATCGCGTAGGGAAAAAAATTCGATAGAAAATAACCGGATTTACAAGCCACTTCGGAAACATTCATCTGGCGGACGAGACTTGAGATACCGTAAAAGGCGTCACTTGATACAGAAAACACCTGTTGCACACTCTCACAGGTTTTGTGTGCCCGAAATGAGGCAGTGGAACGTTGTTGCTGCTGCAACGACCACAGAACACTTTACCACAATTTCGGCAATGGTGTCTACGTCGCACAACCGTGAATCCTGCCTGACAAGCCATACACCTTGGCGCATCGTTGTCCGGCACCCAAACAGGCGCTCTCTCGACGCATTCCTCTCCCGTTTCAGTGACAGGAGAAGCTATATAAACGAAAAACAGAGACATGATATATTTAATATAAATTTCTTATATAATTACATGTCAAATAATAAATATCTATTTCTTAGGACTTAAGAGAAACTTAGATAGTAAGATTGTGAATGTAGTTCTGTCCACAACTAATTTTTTGCTCAAGAATTAGACAAAATTAAAATAAGAATAAATTATATTATACCGTATTTCACATCAAATTGAAGTTAAAACATTTCATTTTTGTATTTGTACATACACAAATAATTTGAGATATATTTATTTTTTTTTATTTTTTTGTTATATTAAATTTAAGATTGAAAATTTTATCCTTTGGAAAGAGAAAGAATACTTTACATATTAAATACTAAATCATTGTTTGGTTCATAGATATTCGCGATTAAATTTTAAAAATGTATTCGGGTAAAAGTCAACATACCCGTACTTCGGTCGTGTTCGTTCGAAGTGGTTTCCTCTACATTTTCGTATTCTGGTAAGGACTCTTGCCGTTCATGAATACTTTCTGTCTCTGTCGTATCTAGTGGTGCATTTGCCACAGAAGCTAAATTCTGAGTATTCGATTCTTCGGTATCTTCAACTGTCTGACTGCTATTCATAAGAAAAACACACTTTAAAATGTTTCGCAAATCCGATGCAAAGTTTGTTTGCAACTGGTCTGCCACACCTGCTATGCAAACGAAGAGGCGATGGACAAGATCTTCCGAGGATCTGGAAATGTAACAATAGTAATATTTTATTTTATTTTGGGGAGAAGAGATTACATATTATATTTAAAAAAATATTATGCATGTACAAAAAAAAATGGAAAATAGGAATATGTAATAATATCTATATATAGAATAAAGAAATATACAAAATTCATAAATACAGGAAAAACATACGTAAAAAAGATGTAAAGACTGAATATTAAACGTATTCAAATTAATTATCCAAATTAGTAAATTTTTTTAAATTGAAGTATTTAGCAAATATATCAATATCTTTTAAATATGTCGATAAACTTCAAGTATAATGATGTTATCGTTTACACGGTACGTGTGAGTAAAGTAACAATATATCCTCTTACCGAAACTTGGCTCTGATTTGATTTCTATTTGCGATCTCGGCGGCTTGCATCGCCAATGCGATCTCCTCGTCGTCCTGACAGTCGCTATGAAACTCGCTGGTTTCTGAACTCGAGTCGCAGCAGCTTGAACAACTGGAACTTGACGCTACATCGGATTTGTAGATTAAAGATTGATGGGAATTTAAATACGACACGCCGGACACTGTCGAGGCATTGACCAATCTTACTGCTCGCGCAGATCTGCGGGTGTTATTGTCTTTTGCACTTTGATATTCGTGACAAACCACGTTCTGCGGCGTAGTTGCAATGTCGGTCACCAAGCCGCTCTTGTCCGTCCTCGGGCCCAATCCGTCATTCATTAGACTACTTCCGCTTCCACGTTTTCTTTTGCAACTTTCTATGCGCGCATATTTGTCTCGTTCGTATCTCTCCCTCTTCTCGACATCTCTTTCCTTCATTCTAGCGATCTGCTCAGACTGGGATCTTCTATGATCCAGCAACTTTCTACTTTGTGGCGAGGAGTGTTTGTTCACGCAATGCGTGCTGAGATTGCAACAGCATTGTCCGCGTGACTCAAAGTGATGAAGTCGCGGACTTATGTGAGGACTGCGACTGCCGAAATTCGGCATCTGCCTAGTATTTTGACCAAGATGCAAACTAGCGCCGAAACTGGTCAACCGGGCATTCAAGCATCGATCCGTGGAATTCGACCTGGAGCTCTCGGTACTTGTGGCCACCCGCATAAACTGCAGGTGGTTGTGTCTCTTCTCTCCCAGTCTACTATGAGTTTTGTGCGTGTTTCGGTCCATTTTGTGCTGGTGTCGCCGTCGTTGCTTTTCGTCTCTCGTTTTCCTCACCTTATCCTGCACGTACCTTTCTATTTTACTGTCGATTTTCTCGATACTTCGAGAAGTGGACGGGCAGTTTTCACATTTCAAGTCATCCCAGAACTCTTTCCGGGAACTCGACGCGTCTATATTCAAATTGAGATTTTCCCAATTCTCAGAATAGTTTATCTGAAAGGTGGATTGATTGGAATCACAGAGAGTCAATTGGCCGTTGCCGTACGCAACGCCAACGAATTCCTCGTTAGTGCCATCGAAGTTCGACGATATTTGTGGAATGTTTTTGCCGGTGGATTCTCTGTCTCCGTTCGAATGCAAACCGGGTACTTCGATCGAGTGATTCGAAGTAGATGTTTTGCTAACATTCTTCATGCCGCAAACACACGAGTTCTCCGAAATGGCGGGATTCTTTTTCTTTGGCGAGTTCATATTAGAGCAAGAATAGCTAGTATTCTCCTGCGTGTCTTCCTCGTCCGATACACCGCATCCTTCTTGCTGAATTTCGTTACTAAAAGTTTTCTTTTCTTCCGGACTCTTGTCATACAAGCTGGTGTTCTCGGACGATATTACCGTACATATGCCGGAGTCTGTTTGTTCCGAGATCTCGTTCGGACATTCGCTAGAGTCTAATAAAAGGTTTGAAAGCGTTTTATTCGCCTCCGAGATAAGTTTTTTAGAGTCTGAATCGGATGAAGTGTTCTCGGATATATGCGCCTCACTGTCAATGGTATTTCCATGAGCGACTTGATTAAACAAATACTGCATCTGTGGAATCTCCATGTTGTCGGAGTATCCCTCGAACATTTTAGTCAAGTCGGAGGTAATGAAGCTTTCCTCATTCCGCGTGTCTTCGATAGTATTTGAAGCACTGGTTCCCGCTACAACTAATGTCTCAACGTCATTCTGTATCATCGCGTCGGGACTCGCGCTAACATCGTTCTCATCATTAGAAACTGAATCACAGTCGTGAAGAAATTGCCCAATGTCGCGCGAAGCGCCGTCAGATAATTCCCGTTCGTATTGCATTCGTTCGTCGACACTTTCCCCATCACTCTGCTGCATCTTTTCAGCGCTGTCACATATTACATTACTATCACATTCGTCCGAGGATATGTTTAAATCTTCACGCTTAGTTTCCGCACTTCTCTTCGTTTTACGTCCATGTCTTCCCTGCTCACGCTTTTTGCTCGGTAACTGATCGCCTCTGCTACTTTCGTCCAACGATTGAACCGCATCGCTCGCTACCTCGTCCATGTTGTTGCCCGTATTTCTCGTCACAGTATAGAAATCAACGATAAATTCTTTGCAGTTCGGATAACCGGTATAAAAATTATGAACGTATTCTTCCAAATCCGGTATGTCCTGACACGTCGATTTCGTCGAGTGCGTAATCGAGCCTGATGGCTCCTCGTTCGAGCATAATAACTTCTCCAACATGTACAACTCGCGGTTGTTTAACGTCCATAATAGTTCTCTTATCTTGAGAAGGAGAGTCTGAAAATTAATTGTGTATGTTTACATCTTGGCAAGTGAAGAGAAGATACTTAGCTACGAAATGTAAAGATTAATGAATGCTGATCCTGATCATTGCATTATAAATTGAAAAAGTTACGAGTTTTCTGTACACTTATAATACCATCTATATATCATACAGATACACTTTTAAACAAATTCGCTAGATCATGGTCAGCAATAATTTTCAAGTGAATCCCTTACTCTAAATGGTCTAAACATTTCGCTTATGGTGTCAGGCGAATTGAGGCACAACGGTCCGCCAGGCGGTGCCAAAAGTCCCGAGACGATAGCCAGGCGGGGAATAGTGAACATTAAAGCTGGCTCATAGTTATCTACATCTGCTTGGTCCAACAGCCCGCGTTCAAGCGCTCGCTGCAGAGTCTCTGAAAACAATACACATACGAGCTCCTGTTGCTCGTACTCCTTTGTCGATTTGACCGGAACCATAGCGCCGACATAGCACAGCTCGAAATCGGCAAACAGCCGGTCGAAAATCTTCAACGACTCAATAAGCTTCTCCAGAGACGGCTCGAGAGGATTTTGCGCCTAAAAAAAGTAAATACTATTAATAGTATGGTCGCCTGATTATTCATCAAATCGTAAACTATATATGCAACAAACAAGAGGATCAAGTGAATAAAATCGATAATTATCTTCCTCCCAAAGACCTAAGAAATATCTTTCGTTTATCCTGCACCGTAGGACTTTAGAATATTGAAACTGTAACGACTGCAACTCGTCTTTCAAATGAGTCGACGGATTTTACTTAATAGGTATGCGTTCAATATACCTTCAAATTCATGTGGCCCTTGAGCGCGTGCTCTCTCAACAAGTTTCTGACGATCTCCAACGACTTGGTGAGAGCTTTCGCTAACGGCCTCATGGCCGAGCTCTCGGCCTCCCGATTCATGATCGAGGAACCGGCCGCCAGACATTCCGCACCGAACCAGAGCTGCCCGGCCAAGTTCTCCTGCATCACGTCATCGGGGAATTTCACCCTGAAGTCCCGATTAGCGCGGCTCTCGGGGATCAAATCGTCCATTATCTGATTGCAGATCGTCAGCACCTTATCCTGACAGTGTCGCAACTGATTCACCAGCGTCGTGCATCTCTCCGGCTCTTGACGGCCGTCGAAGGAGTCCAATTCGCAGGCGACTGCGTTCAGAGACTCGTCGGCGTAGAAGAACTGAGCCAGTAGACTTGTGTCATCCTTCTGTAACGACAAAATGTGGAAAATCGATTAGAAAAAAATTAATTTAAAAAATTGAGCGTTCCAAGTATATCTCACATATCGAGCAAAGCTTAAGAAATGTCTGAATCACATTTTCCTCGGACTTCAGAAAAAGATAGGGAGATTTTCCTTCCCGGATACTCGTGAGGTATAAATCCACGTTTGCAGTGCAAACTGACGGAGCCACACATCTGAACAATGACACTAATTCGCGCCTACGTCATAACGAAAGGGTCACCCACGTCACGATTAAAGGGCGCGGCGCGTGGAAAATCTACCGTATTATTCCCGATGAATGAATTTGTACTATGCCGATATGACGTCGAGCGAGTATAGGGTAAAGGGTGAATCCGACTTAATCGTCGACGAAACCTGCAATTCCTATATCTAACGAGCATTTTAATCGTAACGAAAATTAGCGTGCGTGACATCGGCGACCTACAAGGATGCAGAAGCACGCTGAATCATCGTTGAATTATTATAACGTACAGCGTGCATGGTACTTTAAGATAATAGTAAATTTTAATACTTTGTGGCCAATATAGGTCACCCGATGACCGTAAGCTCTAAAATCACGTTGGAAGTGCCTCTCGTCGCATCGATGGCAACGTACGTTTCAACGAGACGCGGCGATTCGGAATCCCTTTTTGAGAAAAGCCGGCTTTAAATCCGATTACGACGCGGAATCCGATTCGAGAAGCACGATCAAGGTTTAATTTATATCGATTAAAACGCGACTGAAGGATTTTTACGAAAATAGCGATTTTACATGTAAAAAGAGCAGCCGACACATATAGAACGAATGATTTATTCAAGAAAATATGCTTAAAAGTAAGATAAAATAAACCGATTGCGCGCGATCGTAACTCATTATTTACGGATCGTCGATTGTGTAAAGTTCAAACATGGATTTATTCTTGTCTTATCGATGCAGACAAGAATTTTATGGAAAATATATTTTTAGCAATTAAGAAAGCGCGATTTATAATGGAATGGGGGTTGAATTTTTTCTCTCAGTTAAATTTTGATATCGATATTATTTCCAATAGCGGTAGAGAGATAATTTCACTGAAAACGGCGAGATCACGGAGAAGAAACAATCCCTCCCTACTGTTCCCATTTATAATACTCCTATTTATGTGTGCTGCTCAATAACGCGCTAATAATAACGTGCTTTAGGTGCACGTGAATCTCTGACGGTGCAATGTTCGTCTCGGTTCGTGCTGTGCCGTACGGATGTACTTGATATTGAATCATATGTCCTACTGGAAATGACTCAGGAGTCATGCTTATACGTACGCGGCGCGGCGTGACAAATAAATCGATTAAACTACCGTATCGATATCGTAAAACTAGAACAATGTTAGCCGTTTGCGCGCGAGTAGAGGGAGAAGGTTATATGCTCAGCGGGAGAGGAAACGCATTGTTCTTTTTTTTTTCGCAAACTGTACGATGACAATAATCGTTTCATTTCCGGGATACCGGTATGTTCGAAATGAAAACGAATTCGTTACAGCGACATTCTCTTCTGAGAATTTTACACGTGGAAGAAACGCGCTGGTTTCTTTCCTCTTAAAACGAAAAATAATTTTTTCAGAGTAACTACAGTCAAACGCGAGTCAAAGTTTGCTTCGTCGGCGATGAGAACGAGAAAATTCAACCGCGATATATAAAATTTTCAAACTTTTGTTTCAATA